TCTCAATTAAGTCATTCTTCTTAGTGAAAAAGAAAAGCAAGCACTTACCACAAACCCCATGACAGTGCATTTATGGCAGTTTAAGTCAGATGAATAAAGGTATTTGGAGGAAATTTCTGTTAGCTCCTTGGCAGTTACTGTAGTGAGTACTGTATTGGAGAAATATATATGTGATTTATCCCAGTTGGAGTTACTGCTGGGCCCCCAGTTTAAGCTCATATACAGCACTACAGACAATATGCTGGGATGGTTTGGTGTGAACAATGCCCTTCTCTTGTTTGGAGATGTTTGCTTATTCTTTCTCTTGGATTTTTAATGTCCCAGGTGAAAGCACTGAGTTTTCCAGGCTTATCAGTAGATTAAATTTGGTGAGAAAGCAGAAAACTCAGTCATTTTTTTTCAGCTACTTTATGATATATAAGGGAACACTGAAGTGTTTCTTTTTCTCCTCAAATGAGGAATGTCAGGTAGACTATTTCCTGCCTTTTTCATCTCTCTTAAGAATACGGCATGGGAGGCCTCAGAAGCGTAAAACTGCTTTTCCTTAACCAAAAAGACGAGAGTCATGGAGCTTTAATAGTAATTTTTTTCCAACAGTTCTCAAACATTTGTGCTACATTAGTTTTGATGATACAGGGTTTTTAAAGGGGCTGAATTAATCACTTTTTTTTTGTGTGTTAATCAAGTGACACACAGGTGATGATGTATCCTCTGTCTGGTAGATTTGGTAGATCCTTCTGGAAAAAAAAACAAAACATAAAACACAGCATTAAAACCAGACCGAATTGACGGTATTTAAAAAACAGAAGTGGAAAACATGCCTCAAGTCCCTAACTGTTACTGTCAAACAGAAAAATGTAAAATGTGCGTTTGGTCTCTTGTGTTCTTGGAGACCTCAGCTGCGTTCAGTAAATATATTCAGTTACTAGGGGTAACTTGGATGATGCTTAGGCGCGGGGAAGAGAGGGAAGGAGGGCTGCTCAGACAAAAAGCCGACACGTGGGTGCAGCTGGGCGAGCGTGCGTGTGCTGCCTGAAGCTGCAGCCTCGCAGGGAAGGGATGAGTTAAAGTGCTGGAGGCTCACGGCACACCTCGTTCCTTCTGGAGTATGAATACCAAATGCAGAGTGTCTTTGCTTTGCTATGTTAATGGCTTCGGGAGCGCCTCCACCGGGCACATGTGTTTTGTACAGGTGTTGGACGGTGACAACACGCAGGCAAATCGTGATCTTCATGCCCATTTGAAGAGGCTCGGCTTTGCAAAATGTAAAGCCAGGGTACGCCACTCTGTCTCCCAAACCAGGCCCTAAAGAGGTGCAGTTGTACCTAGTAAGGGCACAAACGGCTCAAATTTGCTTTACATTTAGATCAAGCTGTGGCGCATTACCATGAGAACATTACAACCTGTATTCCCAGCACAGTCACTCAGCTGTCACGAATAATGCTGTCAAGGCAGGGAGAAGGAAAATCGAGGACGCCCAAAATAAATCTAACAATGTGCTCGCACACACTGCAGCTGTATTGCATCTTGTTTATTATGCGCAGCTCTTCTTCCGCCGCTCCTCCCACCCTGTTAGGAAAATGTTCTGAAGGTTTCAACGCGGAAAGCTCCGCGGTTGCTGATGCAAAATGACAGCAGTAAAGTGGTTGTGATTGGCACCACCTCCAGACCGGGTCTGAAGGCTTTGTTTACAAGCTGCAGGACTCTTTGCACGAGCAGGAAATCTGGTGGTGAAAGAGTATATTTAGTTGTATTAGGAAATGGAAACACATCCTAAAGGCTAAGAGCACCAAGTGCTGCTTGTGTAATGCTGTGTTACGTTTACAAGATACCCAAGCCTGGCTCTGACTGGCTGCAAACAGACTTCTGTTGAAAAAATGAAATAAAAATGCAGACAGCCTGGGAGAACGTCTTCCAGATTGCTCGTAAAGACTTCATAGCAATTAGCAAAGTTAATCCCAACGTGGGTGCAGCAGGCTTTGCATTAGGCCATGCAGATACTGGGGCAGGACTTTGGTGTTTACAGTACCAATACCAATATTTACACAGGCTATAGGCTCGAGTGATAGGCAACCAGACCTGCCACGAGAGCAAGGGAGGTGGTATTGCTTAGAAGGGGATGGTAAACAAAGTTATTACTACCAAGAAAGTGGGAAGTCAGGGCTGTGTGGGCTGAATTTTGTCCTTATTTGGCTTGGGGGAATTATGTGATTTTATTCTATGACTCAGAGTTGTTTTTACAGCATTTGCGTCACCCAGCGAAGTTGAATCTGCATAAGGCCCAGCGTGTTCCAGGAGGGAATATTTTGTTCTGTAATGTGAACTCGCTAACACAGACTGGCAGCTTTCTTGTTTTGCTTTTTTTATTATCACCACCGCTCAGGCACAAACTGCAAAATTTCTCCGAGCCGTCAGGTTGTGTTACCACGGGCAAGCAAACGCAGCATCAGGGAAAATCCTGACACCACTCGGAGAGGCATTTTATAATTCAGCAGGAGTGATTTTCACTTGCTGAGGGGGCTGTAAGCTTCTGGTTTGCCTCCTTCAGCCTCCGTGGAAAAACACAAGCCTGTGCGCTGGTTAGGTAATTTAACTGCTCTCCTCAGTTCCACCCGGATCTGGCCTTATTTCACTTTCAGAGCCTCTCCCATTACAAGTCATCCCATCAGAGGTGCCACAAGTTAGTCACTGCCCTGGAGTGCCTGGGGTTTTTCCATCCAGGAGGGTTGCTGTGGGCTTTGGCACACGGCGGCGTAAGGGGATGTGGGAGCTGAAAGGTGAGCTCGGGCACCGGTTTGAAGATCCAGCAAATCCAAGCAGATCCAAATTTAGGGCTCTTCAGGCCAGATCGCGGGCGCCGCAACCCCTGTGATGCAAAGTGCTGATCCAGTCCTGGCACGACCTGCCTGTTCGGACGTGTCCGCGTGTTTCTGAGAAGTTATTTTGGTGCTGGCAGGCTTCACGGCAGGTCAGGCGGTGGCTGCCCGCGCGGCTCTGCGGGGCTGGATAGCGTTTCTCTTCCTGCAGCTGGCACGGAGCTGTCAGAGAAGCATGACGCTGCCATAAACACCCCCCTGGCTAATTGGACAGAAATGAGGTTGCTGTGCCCGCACCCAGCGGCACCGGGCAGGTGGGATTTTATTAGGGATTTTATCCCGAGACCGAGCGTAAGGTGCAGGCGTCCTGGCAGTGCTCGCTCCCCGGCTCCCTGCCTCCTGCGTCCAGAGGAGAAGGAAACAAAACGCAGCCGATGCGATTATCGGCTCATTAGCTGAATCCCATCAGGAGCGGCCACTCCGCACGTTCTTGGTGATTTAATTCCCCCGTTTAATTAAGTCCTCCCCTAAACACGATTAGCTCACATTAGAGACTAATTACCTGTTAATTTTCAATTTGGCCCTGACTGAGCTTTCTTGCCTCGTGTCAGATTTGCTCCAAAACTGCCTCTTCATCTCTCGGTCGGGGTTTCTGTTGATCTTGCTGCCTCCCGTGCCACCTGCACGATGGCAGCGGTGCTGGCGGGGCTCCTGGAGATGCCACCCCTTCCCCATCCTGCTGGGTCCTTCCCACCCACCTGGGAGCTCCCATAGGGATGTGAGTACCCAAACCAGAAATTATTTACAGCACGAAACTTTCACCTTTGCGGCTCCTGCTCCACTGGTGCCCACTGACTGCGGACCTTGAGGTTTTATTTGCTTATTTTTTTAATCTGTTTGAGTGTCTGTCAAGCCAGGGGCAGGCTGGACCTGAGGGGGCTGCTTGTGGCCAGGGCTGGCTGCAAGGGGAACTTTCGGTGCATGGTGCACGGGGAGCTTTTCCTGGGGTCTGCTCTCTGCTCCAGAGGGTGCTTCTGCATTTTATTCATAGGATGGTACAGTGAGAAATGCAGAAGCTGTCCAGGAAACAGAAGGCAACGCTTCCCCCACCACAACACCCCCCCTGGATGTGTTTGCAAGAGCCCGGCTGCTATTTCGGTGCATTTCTGCCACGCAGAAACCTCCGGGCAGTATCTGTGAATCGTGCAGCACAGTGTCACGGTTTCGACAGGAGGGGGTGACAGTCCTCTTCTGATCCACGCCAGCCCGCAGCTGCCTGCTGTTAGGGCACTTCTTCAGAGGATGGCGGGCTGTGGGTTTGCCTCTCCCCACACCACGGAAAGCAAAAACCTTGCCTCTGCTGCTGGCCAGTACAAAGCCCAGGGCTGCTTGGAGCATAGTTTTAAGATTTTTAATTCATCAGTTCCACAACCTACTCGTTATTTTGCGACTTTCAGAATGTACCACTAAAAATCAGAGTGGCAGCCCCAAGCAGCAAGATTTCCTATTTTTCCTAGCTCACACCCATTGCTCTGACAGCGGAGAGTGCGGGTGGGCTGCCACCAAATGCACCCAAACAGCTGCTGGCAGTGCTCACCAAGCACCAAGGAGGGTGAGGATGTTTTTTGGGTGTCCTGCGGGGTGCAGGGATGCATGGCCAGGGCTGTGAGCTGAGCTGCTTCAGGAGCTTGGGACACGGCTGCTGCCCCAGACCCTGCAGTGGTGAGCTGCAAAAGTGTGCTGTCACCTGCCAAGAGAGCAAAGAGACAAATTACGAGTTCAGGAGATGTGTGGGAACATCATGGGAGATTAAATGATCCTGGCTTTCCTCACGAGGTGACCCCAGGACAGGACCAGGCTCCCTGATCTCCTGGGTTTCCTCCACCCATCTGTGGCATAGGAGTGGGGACAGGAAAGGAGATGGCCTTTAGTGGCCCTTGGTGGTCCTTCACTGTGCTGTCCTGCCCTGTGGGGCACCAGGGTGCAGGTGGGCGCAGCCAAGCAGTGCCAGGCACGGTGCCACTTCCCCATCCCACACCTGCACCCGCAGGTGCTCCATGTGCGTCCCCAGCACAAGTTCTCAGAGAAATGTGAAAGCTCTGCCGAAATCAAAAGGAACCAATAACCATAGTAAAAAATTCTGTGTAGAATCTTTTTTTTTTTTTTTTTTTTTTTTTTTGAGGGCTGCGGTGTCTTGCAGAGCCCTGGTGTGATTTATTTTTAATGCTGCACGTCTAGCGCTCCCTTCACCTTTCTCACAGCTCCGCTTGAGCGATGTGGTTCTGCAGCCTGTACGTTCGTTCCCCTGCCTCTTACGCGTGGTGTTCACCTCCTCGGTGTCTGCTGTTTCCCACCGTCCTCGCACAGCAGATGTTCTCTGTTACAACGCAGAGCGGGCACGGTAGCTCCAGCAACTTGTTGCAACACACTTGTTGCTAAAGCGCAGCTGTTGCTAGCGCAGCTTTTCTGACAAGAGCAAGGAGAAGTTTGGGCTGCCCGACTTTCTCTGGCCCTTGCCCACGGGCCAGCCTTTCTCAGTGGTTGTGCATGCAGCTAACCTGCTCAGCACCCCTGCAGGAAGCTGTCACTGCTGCAGGCTTCCTCGTGCTAGTTCCTTGCCTAGGAGGGGGTGAAAGGTGTGTGCGTGGCTGAGGAAGGACTCGGCCACGATGAAAAGCTTTTAGTCAGTTCTCCTGCTGTGTTTTCAGCCAAGTTCTCGATCTGGGGCTCGATTATTCGGTGAATGCGTTTCCATTTTGATTATATGCTTGGGAAGGCATGGTAAGTTCATTTAACAAATCTTCCAGATCACCTGCAAGAGCAAACTGTGCTAACCTTCTGCTTAGTGTGCTGATGATTATGCTGTTGAAGTTCACTTCTGCATAGGTGATTGGCTTCTTTCCTATCTGCCGGCACCTAGGTTAGACAACAAAATTATCCTTGTGTATCAATAAACAGGTAACGACGAGTGCTTTGTGTGACGGGGTGCCCCATGTTACCTGGGGCTCAGAAGCAGAAGTCAGGTGGGGAAGGACAGCGAGCAGAGCACAAATTACCTTGCAGCATGGTACCATGGCTCAGGAGAGCTTCTGCTTTGCTCCCACCAAGCACCTGAGCTGGCTGCAGAGCAGGCTCCTGATGCGGGGCCAGGTAAGTGGTGAACAAGCCCCAGATGTCTGTGCTGTACGAGGGGGAGGAGGCAGCACTGATCCTGCCACGTTGGTGGGAGATGTTAATCACCAGGAGGTAAATAACCTGCCTGCCGAGGCCTGGGGGGGCTGTTGGCTTCAATAACATATCGCATGCTGCGGGTTGGCTGTAGAGAGGCTATTCCAAAAGGTGTTTGCAGGGCTGTGGAAGCGGCTTTATGAAGATGAATGGACTCACCAGCCATGAGGGAATTGTGCAGCGTTCCCATCGGCTAACAAGGAACTGAAAGCTGCCGGCAGCCTGGGGAAAGCGCAGCACAAGGAGCTGAGCAAGAGAAAAGCATCTCTGGGCTTGTCACACAGGACAGAAATGACCCTGCAGGGCTGGGGCAGGGCAGCCAGGACAAGCTGCATGAGCCCAGGACCCCAGGCCCTGCATCCCTACACGCCATCCCTACAGGAAATAGGGCAGGCTGGCTGGATCTGGCACTGCCGGCTGTGCCATCTCCCTGTCTGCCTGTGGGACACGAGCAGCAGCTGCTTGAAGGCAGAAGCTGGGGAAGACAGCAGCAGCCCGGCCCCAGGTCAAGTTTTACCAGCAACCATTTGTCCCTGAAATTAAACATCTGAGCATGGCCAGCCAGCTTGAGGAAAAAGAAATGTAGTCGAGGCCAAGACTCAGAGTGGAGAGCTGGGAGATGCAGATTCAAGCCCTCAGCTTTGGTTAACAGAGAGCCAGATTCCCTCTCCCTCCCCAGGGCTGCTCTGGGTATGGCAGGGAGCGTCCCCATAACCCCAGCGATGTTCTCCCTGTGCTGCAGCACTGCGACAGGAGGTGGGAGCTTGCTTCGAGGGTGGGTGCCTGTGGCTGCTCCTGCCTTGTAGGAAGTGCCATGATTGATGAGCACGAGCAGGACATGAAACCGGGTCAGACGGACGGGTTGGGAGAAACCCCATGAGCTGCTGTGGCCAGGATGCCATCAGCAAACCCTCGCACCAGGCAGTGTGGGGGTGTTGACCTTGACGGAGCCACGGTCTGTCCCCGGGGTAAGAAAAGCTCTTTGCTTTGTCTGCGGTCGGCCTGAGGTGTCACTGCGCTGTCGGCAGGGGTTTGGGCTGTCTGACAGTGCCCTAGCCTGTGGTTTGCGGTGCGCTGCGTTTGCTTCAAACTCCCTACTCTAGAGTGTGCTGTTCCCTTTCACAAGACGCTCGTGCTGCTGGCTCCAGGCTCCTGGGTCTCTGCTCCCACCACAGGGTATGGCTGTGGTGCAGCTCTGCCCGTGTGGGGACGCAGGTTGGGGCTCAGCATGGAAGCCCAGGCCAGCCCAGTGAAGGAGAAACCATACAGCGGGCTGTGCTTCGGCCTGTAATGCCTGCCCTTGGGGCAGGGCTATGCACTCCCAGCAGTGAGATGTGGTCACTCAGCAGAGGCTGCCAGAGTGAATTAGGGGCTAAAAGCACCTAACTGGTCTTTGGGGTGAGGCGGGTTTATGGCTGAAATGGATGGAAGGTCTCCACGCAAGTCCCTCCGACCCCACAGCGATGAGGAGGGTTGGTAGGGCTGCAGCAGCACGAACGGTTCCCCGAAGGGCCTGAGGAAGCACCAGCAGGGATTATACAATTTGGGATTTCCTCCTAAGGCTGTTGGGGTGTGCAGGACAGCTGCTGCCATGGGAAGAGGGAAGCGGGCACCCAGCTGCGCAGGAAACTGAGGCCGGGGTCAGGTGAGGGGACACAGGGCCCTGGTGCCACCGGTGGTGACGCAGGGACCGCAGGTGGTGGCCAGCGGCCTGTGTAACCAGCAGCAGTGCTTGCTGGTGGGGAACACGGCTAAACCCTTAACCCACATGAAGTTTTCAAGCGAAACACGTGGAGGAGTGAGGGGGCTGGCCCTGCGAGGTGTGCCCACGGAGCTGAGCCAGGCCGGCTGGCCAGCATGTGCTGCCTGAGCAGAGTGGACTCCTCCGGGTCATGCCCCAAAGTCTTTTATTCTCCAGATTCTTTAATTCTTTCACCAGTAGATCAGATGAAGACATTATTTACTTCTTCTTTTTCTTCCCAGTGGCAGCACAGCTCGTGAGGAGGAGCGCTTGGTGGCAAAGCATTGGCAGGGCAGAGGGGCAGCAGTGAGGGCTGCTCCTGGCCCCAAGCCCTCACCAACCAGCCCTGAGTCACGCTCTGACAAATGTCAAGGTGTGGTTTAAAGGCCGAGTTGTTTTCTTTTTTTTTTTTCTTTATTCTTTTTGAACACAAGCCTCTTTTATCTACCCCTCGGTAGTCAAGCTTTTCTGCCTAAGCAGACTGGAAACTTCTCACCAGACCTCTTTCTCACGATGCCATCTCATTTCGGCACCACGGGTGGTCAGAAAACAAAGCTGGAGCTGCAAGGGCTGGCAGAAGGCACCGTGGTGGTGAGCTTGACACTCCTCTGTGGCCCTGCTCACACAGCAATGCTCGCTGGCCAGCTGGCTGCCCACAGCCAGAGAGTTTCCCAGAAGTGGAGACCTCAGTGCTCCCCACAGCAGCCTCCCCAACTGTGCTTGCACCGAGGCGGTCGCATCTTCTCAGTGCTGTGGTCGAGAGGCATGCGTGGGCTCGTGAGGGTCGGTGACACATGGAAATGTGCTGCTACCATCCTCGGAGCTGCTGCTATCAGCACGGGGCAGCACGTGGGCTGCTGCAGGTGCTCCTGCCTCCAGGTGCTTCTGCAGCATTGCTGCCGGGGCTGCTGATTTTGCAACATCCTGCCACCATCACCCCCAGATGTGACTACTGAGGTGCACACAGCTCTCAGTTTAACAGCTCCCTCAAGCCCCTAGGACCTGCTAGTCCCCATTGCCTGTTGCGGAAGAAGAGCAGGGAGGCACAGGAGAGCGTGCACATCGCAGCAAAACTCTGCTTACCTGGTACAAAGCAGCCCCTCCTTGCTTGTGACAAGCAGATTTGTTGCTGTTTTGCAAACCAAACAGCAGGTCCAGCCCATGGGGAGCTGCTGATGGCTCACACACCAGGTTGTCCCCGAGCCCAGCATACCCTCCCTGCTGACCCACTGCCTCCACTGCTTGTCTGCATCGGGGGGAAAAAGGAGACAGGACTAAAGCTTCTCCCCTCACAATCTGCTTTCTGCAAGCAGACAGGTTGTGATTTCCTGCTATTCTCACGAGAACCAGGACCTAAAGGGAATACACCAGCTGGTGAGTGCCTGACCCGTGGCACTTTTGTCCCCACAAGGTCTCCAGCAGCTTCGTCTCAGTGGCGGTGACTGCAACGCACCCAGGTGGGCTTTGCAAATCTCTTTCCTCCGGAGTGCAGTCAGCGGGGTGCAGAGCAAGTGGGCAGGATGGGGGTGGACCTGCAGGTGGTGGGGAGAGGCACGCGAGTCCCAGCTCAGCACCCCCAGGCACGCTTCCTTTGGATAAACTCAGTGCTGTGTGGGTCAGCCCCTTCCCTCCAGCCTGCCCCGCAGCACCAGCCTGTTCGGATGCTGGTTAGACGCAGGTCACTTTAGAGAGGTGCCAGGCAGATGCCTTAAGACTGAGGGAAAGCCAAGACAAAGCCAAAATAATGCGGCTGGCTGCTTTAATTTGCAGGAAGAGCCAGGCAGCAGCAGGCTGGTCCACAGGCGAATCTTTCCTGCTGTATCAAGCATAAATTAATCAGGTATTCCATTTCCCGAGGGAAAAAAAAAAGAAAGAAAAAAAATAAGCAGAATAATTCACTTAGAAATAAAGACTAGAGCCATTTTTCCCTTTGACATGTTGAACGCAATTACCTGAGGCATGGGAGGCTGAGATAACTCACTCATTCAGCCCCCACTCTCCGCAGAGACTGTCATCATTCTGCCAGAAAAGGCTTTAAAAAACAATTCACCTCCTGAATGCTGAAACGCTGCCATGTACCAAACCTGTCCTGACGATTTCCACACACCAGCTGCAACACCACAAGCAAAATGCTCCCTTCGACGGGGCAGTGTTATTCTCAGGGCCATATACACCATGCAAGCTCCCTGTGTTTGCTGTCCCTTTTCCCAGCACTGTTGGTGTCCCCTCCTTTAGGAGCAAAGCTCACTGACATCCTATTTGGAAAGCTCAATTAATTGCAACCGTAAGCCTGTGCTTGCCCCCAAATATAATCACATTTAGGCTGCACCCTCCACTCCCACCCCCTTGGCCATTATCTAATAGGCAGTGGAGTAATGGCTTTGGGTAATGCTGTTTGAATGGCAGGCATCCAGTTCTGGCCTGGTTTATTATTTTTTTTATGGTGGGGGGAGTGTAGTTGGGCGGGGGTAGTTTGTCTGCAATCCCTGTTTTGCTTCTGGAGCTTTAGAGGACAGACATATTCTTCCATCTCCACTAATCCCCCTCTGATACTGAGGATTTTCCTGCCATTAAATGATAGCTTGCGAGAAAAAAAAAAGCCAACTTTCCTGAGGCAGACCCGTGCGGCTAATGGCAGCCTTGTGAGCAGGAGGGAGGACACAGCCACTGCCTGGCCAGGTAAGTGAGGCATCTAGGTGCTTTCTGCTGGGAATTTTCGTTTGGGCTGCTCAGTGCTAGTCTGGCGATGCTCTGCGCCAGCACCTCTTGCCTGGGGAGGCAGCCAGTCCCTGACCATTGGCGATCTGTTCCCACCTCAGGTAGGAGCACACCCTTGGCACAGCTGGCGGGCAGGATGTGGACCAGCTCGTGAAAAAGATCAGCAAAAAGCTGCAGGAATCGCTCAGAAGCCAGGTGGTGGAAGGAAGGCGGGCGCGGATTGCTGGGGACCGCATCGGTTCAAAACCGTGTGCGAGAGGATCCTCTTTCTAAGCATAGACCTTGCCGTGGGACAATGATGCAGGCAAACGACAGAGGCTGAAACCTGCCTCAGCTCTTCCCATGTGCTTTTAGATCCCTCACGTTTGCCTGCCAGACCTGAAATGCCACTAGTGAATAATCAAGGTAATGTTTGCCATCATTCTAAATGGTGAGTAGTACTCTTATTCTGCATTACCCAGTAGCGGGTTAGACAGATTGTTCTGAAAGGTGTAGGTTAGACTCAATTACTGCAATCATTGTCTCTTCATCCTTCTAAAATCTCTGCAATTATATTTTTTTTAGTCTCTCACTCTTCCTTTCAAATACCGAAATAATATATTATGTAAAAGAGCAAAAGAGATCATCCCTGGGTGGAACTTTGTTTATTCCTTAATCTCACCAATATTTTTTACCTTAATGCTGTATTTCACCTTTTTTTTTTTTAAACACATATCTCATCTGCACACCTCTGTGCCAATGAATTGGAGGCACTGTCCAGCTGCTGCCCTGCCTGCCACAGTGTTAAAAGCAAAGAGCATCCTTTTTGGGGAAAGAATAAGAAAGGCAAGGCAGGAATGTTTCATGCTGTGTTGGTCAGAGGAGATCCGAACAACAGTGGAGACCTGGTCTCCTGTGCACTGACCAGCAGCTTCGCCCGAGGGTTTGGTGGGGTTCAGACAGAGGATTTGGGTAGATTTCGTTTGCAAGAGAAAGAGGGAGAATGACACAAAAAGTCACTGCCAAGGGGCTCCTCTGAGCTTCTGTTGCAGGGAGGTGTTTTCTAGTTGGCTGGTCCTCAAGGGCTTGCTTTCTGTGCTCTGCACAGTGCGAAGAGTTACGTTTGTAGATAGACATCTTAAACCTGTGCTGTGAAATGTCACGAGAAGGCCTAGATTTAGCTCTAGTATACCTTGTGCATAAAGAGAACAGGCTGGAAAATGGCTTGGGTGCACACTTTTTCTTTATCAATCGATCAGAGAGCAAACAGGGAGTGGAAGGAGACAATTTTGTTCACTTCTACACTGCACACAGTACACATAGCTGCTGGGGGAGGTCTGCTCCAAAGGCCAGAGACATAACTGAGGTTGGGCAGATGTAGCTAAACATTGAGCTTGCCTGGGACAACCTCACCTATAGGACAGTCTGTGTACATAAGTCCCACTGGATGTCATCCTGAGCCTGTGAAAGGCTCTTGCTCCAGAAGCAGTACTTCTATCAGTTGTTTCCAGACAGCCACTTGCAGCCAAATGTTTGTGAACAGGCAAATCCTTAATCTGTCTGGACCTCAGTTTATGTAACTGTGCATCAAAACCAACACATACCCCTGTTTGCACGCAACAACATGGAATGGTGCAAAGGGCAGCCAAAGACAAGGCCGTTGCGCAAAGACAGAGCCATCTGAGGTTTGTTGTCCCCTCTCTTGGCCTTAGGATCTACATTTATTGCCTACCTAGGGCCCTGCACGAGGGGAACTTTCCTTTAGCTGCAGCTGAGGAATAAGTAGAATGGGTCAGGAGAAAGGAGAAGAGCATATGAACAAGCAATCAAGCAATGACAACCTGCATAAAATCCTCTCCCTCTCTCAAAGTCCTTCACTGTTGTCTATTCTCAAGATCAAGTTTTGCTAATTCTCCAGTCACGATAGCATCGCCAGGCTTGGTGAGACCCGAATTGCAACAGAGGCCAGAGCTAAAGGCCTTCTGTGCTGCTCCCTCCACATATTTAGATCTGCTTTCCATGCTCAGTGGCCAGGACAGTTCGAGCAGACCCAGGCTGGGAGGCTGCTGAGTCGACATGCTGTCAGCGGGGACCCGCGAGGCAGCAGGTTTCACAGGTCTCATGCCTGACGAAGCCACAGGCACTGCAAACTCACAAGCACCGTACTGCACACGTTGCTTTCAGAAAGGATGGAGGAAGGGCAGAGCAAACGCGGTTCAAACTGTCATCTGGTCCATGCACTAAAGCCCTAGGGGCTGTGAAAATCATAATAGATCGATGTTTGCTGAGCCTGCCTGGCACATCGCCTCACAGGTCTGGCTTAATAAGAATCCCCTCAGGAACACAGCTGTAGTGAGCAATCACTGCTGCACAGCAGCGGGGAGAGGCGGTCCTGCTGCCGGGAGCACCCCTCCAGACAGCAAGCCAAAGTGTGGGGGAAAGCCCCTTCCTTGCCCTTCGGCCCCTGGGGCTCGCCAAGCACATGGCAGAGCTCCTGTGGTCCCAGCAATGCTGTTAATAAAGCTGGCTGGTGGTAAAGATGGTAAGAAGTATGATAGGGTTGTTGTGCCTGTGTGGGAGCCAGCGAACAGCAGCAGCAGCAAAATCATGCAGAAGCTGTACCTCTGTTTCCTGCTAATGACTGCATGGAGAGGTTGCTGGTGTGACAGCGAGGAGCAGGTAGGATGTGCCTTTGAGAGCAGTTACAAAATGAGATCTGTTTTCTGTTCCTGCTCTCTAACGAATTTATTTCTTAGGCACCTGGTTGCCTAGGTGTTTCCACCCCCCCCCCCCAAAAAAAAAAAAAAAAGCCTGTCAAAGCAGGCTGATGTCTCCTATTCCTTTCATTCTTCTCTGATTTGTCCCCAGGAGCTTTCACCTTCTCTTCCTTGTTGGACATCTGCCTGCTTGGGACTAACTTGAAAAGAAACCACAGCACCCACACACCTCCCAGGTGTCAGGCTGATAAAATGACGAAGGGGCTGATCCCATCAAGCCTAAGACACTGTGGTGACTGTCTAGAGAATTGGCAGAACAGTAGAAACTGTGCTGGAGGGTGCAGAGCATCTCATTTGTGATGAGATCACTAAGAAAGCATCTGAACGATACTCCTGAATTTGTCTTTCCTCGTGTCTGTCTACTGAAACGTAGCAGGAATCTGTTTTTAAACGCTGTGCAGCATCCTTAGCAGCTGACAGTTCCCCTTACAGTGCTGCACCAGCTCATGGTTTTGGTGGAAAAATGCTAGGTTTATGAACAAAGAAAAGAAAGAAGAAAAAGCAGGAATATTGACTTGCCCCAGGGAACTAACTGATCTCCCCTGCCCGCTGCTGGGACAAGCATACACTGCCCTCCTCCCTTCCCCACACAGAAACACCACAACCCACACACAGCTGATGGCCTTCAAAGCATCTCGGTCAGCTCCCCTGGCCAAACCCTGTCCCATCAGCTTTTGGTGACCGGTCAGGGGGATGTGGTCACAGAATCACAGAGTGCGTGGGGTTGGAAAAGGCCCTCAGAGGTCAGTGCTCCAAGCCCTGCTCAAGCAGGGCCACCCCCAGCAGGCTGTCCATGCCACAGGACCATGTCCAAGTGGCTTTTGAAGATCTCCAGGGAGGAGACCCCACAACCTGTCGGGGCAGCCTGTTCCATCCGGTCTAGATGATTTCCCCCCTTAGGGAGAGAAACTCTTCAGAAAGGATGGTGTAGGGACCTGACCCTTTCTCAGAGGGTTTATAAACCACCAGCAGATGTCTAGGAATTGCTTACAAGGGCTTTTTGGTCAGCGTGGACACATGAGTGGCGGGTGACAATTAGCCTGGCTGGAAGGGAGGCAGGGGCAGCACAATCTTCTCTCACACCTAACACATTTACTAACGATGTTTCTCTCTCCCCTTTCTCTCCTCCCACACCTCCACGGGGTCGGCGTGCCCCTCTCTGGCAGTGATCCTCTGGGTGCCCCGTGCCCACGCGGTGTGGGCCTGCGTGCGGGCCTGCCCGGCCAGCTGTGTGTGCACCCAGGAGCGGAGCTGCTCCGTCCTCTGTGACCGTGCTGGGCTGGGGCAGATCCCCAGCGAGTTCCCTTGCGAAGCCTCCTCCATCAACCTGGATAAAAACAGCATCAAGTTCCTCGCCGAGAGGGCCTTCGGGACATTGCCTTCCCTCAAGTCGCTGTCCCTCAACCACAACAACATCTCCTTCATCACCCCGGGGGCTTTCAAGGGGCTGCCCAGCCTGACGGAGCTGAAGATGGCCCACAACGAGTACATCCGCTACCTCCACACGCGGACTTTCACCGCCCTCAGGAGGCTGGTCAAGCTGGACCTGGCGGACTGCAACCTCTTCAACATCCCGGACAGGATCTTCATCGAGCTGCCCGCCCTGCAGGAGCTCCTCTGCTTCCAGAACAACTTCCGAAGGATCCCGGGTGCCATCAGGGGCATGGAGAACCTGACCCACGTCTACCTGGAGAGAAACAGGATCGAGGCGGTAGCCTACAACTCCCTGCAGGGCCTGATCAAGCTGAAATACCTGAACCTGCAGGACAACAGGATAAATGTCATCCACGAGCGAGCTTTTCAGGGCTGCCGGAAGATGGAGTACCTGTACCTGAATGACAACCTGATCAGTGAGCTTCCAGAAAACTCCTTTGACGGCCTGAGGTGCCTGAAAATGCTCAACCTGGGGGGGAATTTCCTCAGGAACGTTTCCAACACCTGGTTCCGGGACCTGGTGGAGCTGGAGGTCCTGTACCTGGACCGCAACAGGATCAACTACATCGAGGAGGGGGCTTTCGAGAACCTCACCAGCCTGGTCTCCTTGCACCTGAACAGCAACAACCTGACGACCCTGCCCTTTTCTGTCTTCCAGCCCGTGTACTTCTTGGGGCGGCTGTACCTCTTCCGCAACCCCTGGGAGTGCGACTGCCGCATCGAGTGGCTGAAGGAGTGGATGGAGAGCTACGGGCTCGTCAGGGACATCCCCTGTGCCTCCCCGTCCTCGGTAGCTGGGATGGACCTGATGGACGTGCTCTACGACAGATCGCCAGAAGGGTACTGCCTCGACCCGGTGGAGCTAAATGTCACCTCCGACAGCCCGACCCCAAGCGGAGAGCCTTTCTCCACCACGGAGAGCAAGTTCAACAGCCTTATCTCTAAACTCTTGCTCCAGATGGGCCTTCCTGAAGAGGTGTCAAACACCACCGAGGTCTTCAGTAACGCCACACAGCTGGATGGGCTGGCTGATGGGGCTTCTGCTGGGGCAGGGGAAGGTGGCCGCAAAGCCGCCTCCTTCTCTTTTCAGCTCCCAGCACTTCTTGCAGTGGTTGTTTTCCAGAGCAAGTAGTCCAAGGGCTGCCTGGAGCATGGGTCCTGCTTAAGCATTTAGTCCCTGTCCCTGCCTAGCCCTGGGCACCACCTGGGGCTGCTACGCCAGCTCTTGCAAAAAGGAGAACGGCACCTGGGGAGGGTCTGGGGGAAAGACGGCGTGTTGGCTGAGACCTCAGATGGGGTTTTTATCCTTTCTCCCCCTGCTACCCTGGCACATCTGCAGGAAAACCAGAGAGACACGTTTTCATCAAAAGTCTCAGAGGAAAAGCTATTTCAACACAGTGGCGTACTCATTAATGACTGTTTCAAATGTGTTCTTCTTTATCAACAAATTTATTGTTTCAAGGAGTATATTGTTTTTATTCATAGGTTATTTCATGGCCTGACAACTGGAGCAGAATGCAGCCAGGCTGTAGGAAATATTTTACATTTCTACCACCAGTGTATATCACATGGCATGTCATATTACACAATGCTAACCAACCATGCTGTCATTTTCTTTTATATGACATCTTACATGCTTTGTCATTGAAATCTTTAATGAAAGCTGCTACTCTGACCACAAGGATTTATATTTTCTGTATTAGAGCACATGAACAAAACAATTTGATATTTTTCTCTCAAAAATAAATTAGTTGCTCAAAAAGGTTTTATTCTGACATCCTTGAATTACTCCAGAATTCTTTTTGAAGGCTCAGTGGGTACACACAAATGCCCCTTTAATAGTCTAGAGCAAATGGCAAGGTGTTTATTGCAGCCCAAAGAACAGAAATGTTGACTTAGAAAGTGGCAGTGCTTACATCTGTGTTAAGTAGCAATGCTTTAAAAACAAAGAGACTATATAAAATACACCTGTGTGATATTTTAATTAATTAAATCCTTATATGTGGCTTACCATGCTGTGGTGTACATGTTCATATGAAATTATATGACATATACAATCCTTTATTACTGCTAAAATGTCATGAAATGAGAATAAAACTGGAAATGAATTAAAACAACCCTTTCAAACATTTCCTTAACACCCCCCACACTTTTTTTTTTTCTCCATCCTCACCTTTTCATGAACAATTCAACATGAACATGAGCTCCAGAGGCATTGAAAGCCCCCATGGTCTGGCAGTCCCGGGCATCAGCTGTTTCTGACTCGCAGTAAGTTTTATTTGCCTGCTGAGAGCAAAAAGGGCCACAGCAAGCCCGTGAATGCTATTTAACCCAGCGTCTGTGGGTGAGAAGCTGGTGCATGGCGGGTCCAGCCTGGACCTCCCCCAGTCCCTGCCCCTTCACAAAATGACCACACATTCCTAATCTGGTGGAGCAGCTGCTTCGTGAAACATGGAACCCTCCCTTCCCCTTTTTTCCCCCGCTCAAGCTGTGCCCGTGCATTTTGTCACCAAAAAGGCCGCATCTCCACTGGCTTCAGGACATGTTCGTGTGAGCAGCCGGGTTTGGTGGGCAGCACCCTGTCCAAAAAGATCTACTGCTTTATCATTAGCACCAGCAATTTCTAAGTACGGAGAAAAACACGTATTCCTTGTTGTGGTGGCTCCCCCAGCTATCTGTAGCTAGGCCACATTTTTTCCTCCAGCGAAGAAAGATGCCAGATGGTTTGATAAATGCCTATTTGACCTGTTCCGTGAACTAAATTCAATGAGTTTGGATTTCCAGGCTATTTATGAATCCATTAATCTTCTTAAATGCTAAATTCATCTGTGTATTATAAAAGGTTGTTTTTCAAACCCAGTGCAGCCAAATGCTGTAGAGGCGCATTATGTTAAGGATGCCTTTACAGGAGCAGTATTTCATCCTGTCAGGAAAGGTTTATCAATAGGTTTGACACAGATGGTAGGGCACTGGGCACAAAAGGTCATATTTCACTTCCCATAGGATGGATGCCTAACGAGTTTTTATAACCCACGCTTTCATTCTCTGTGCTGAAATACATCAAAGCTGAAGATTGTTTCACTGAGTAATGGCTACAGCATGGCCTTCAAGTTAATTATTGCTTCAAAGATGCTGCTTCTTTATCCACAAGAATGGCAGATTAGATCTGAACGTGAAACATCTCAAGATGTGGGTTTTAGCAGAGGTTGTGCTGTGAGGTGAAGGACAGGGAGACTGTGTGTGATAATTTGCTTCACAACAACCAGGTCTAGAACTGTGCAGTTCTGGGACAATGGCCTTGGGCATCGATAACTTGAACATATCATGCAGTCAAACACCGAGTGCTTGCCCCCGAAAGCTTCTCTGTAATACAGCTGTGGCTGCTGAGGAACTGTGTGCTGCATGTAATGGGCTTTCAGTTTCCCCCCAGCAATGGGGGCTCTGAAACCCTGTTCTTAGCCCTGAGCCCTTGGAAGATCAGCAGTCTGTGTTCCTAATGGTACGGAGCATCTGGCACGTGAGTGCAGAAGCTTGATGGTTTTCCTCCCCTCTCCTCCATCTCGCTCCTTCCTCATAGCTCCCTGTGCTCAGCTCAGGCATCATCTTTTGCCTGCGCTTACCCAGAGTGGACTCCTGGACAAGACAGCAAAGTATTGCTGCTCAAAACACTGAGAGGACTTCCAGCACCATGAAAGCTTGGGTCAGACTGCCAGTGCCCACTTCATTCTTTCACGAGCCCCGTTTCACAGCTCAGAAGTCCTCTCAGGTGCCCATATCCATATCCAGGAGCAGAAGGGAGAAATCAGAAGTGCAAGGAGTGCTTCATCCCTGCTCAGGATCACATCATCTGGCATACACCCCGATGCTACTCCTAAAGAAGTGCATGGGCATAGAAGGGACATGACACGGTTGCCCTCACATCCTACTAATGGCCTGACAGCTATGGGGCAAGCATTTCATGATGGGACTCAGCAAATCAGTTGAGGGTTGGACCTGGTTATCCTGCAATCTACCTGAAATGAAGATGGACCTGTTGCAAACATCACCTGTTTGCCTTTTACTGTAACATTTGAGAAATTATCTTACATATGAGACAACGTGATTCTGTGTGGGTAAAGAAGGACACTGTTGAAGCTCTCACTCATGATACCCTTTCAGCAGGGTCCCAGTCTACAAAATCATTGGCCTGCACAGAATCTGCATCCCTGTCCCAGGCAGGAAGAGAAAGACTTCCTCTGGGCAGAAGCTGGGGAAGAATTGAAAGAACCGGAAGAATTTGAAGCTGTGTAAGCTTCAAAAATTTTTTGCATGGTATTGGGATGCTCCTCTTGGCTGAGGCTTGTTCAGAGAGCTCTCAGTCTAAAGTGTCTGGAAGAAGCAATTTGTTTTAATGCACAGTACTTGTTAGTAAACACAGTGTTTATCACTGGTGCAACTGTTTTTATACGCTGCAGCCAGTTGCTATTAAATTAGAAGGGAGAAGTGGTCAAAGTAAACACACAAAAAAAGAAATGACCTGTTTTTGGGTATTATCTCTTGGTCTTGATATTCTGTAGTTTCTACCTCTATGTTGCATTCCCTGGGACAAAGCTAGGTCTTTAACATTAACACTTGCTTTATGTCATGAATTCATTGCCTATTCTGCTTATCGTGTAGAGTCTTACCATGCTTTCCTGCTTTGGAAATAGATATGAAGTCCAAGACAAGAAGAATCACTGTAAATAAAGGTAACTGTTGCTAGAATGGCAGAAAATGCCATCCAGCTGAGACTGGAGCTTCATCACCAATTTTGAAGTGGGTGTTTAGCTAATTAGGTATTTAATGAAGTGGCTTTTTAGCTAATTTTTGTCTTTATGACATTTCGCTGTTAGCTCTTAAAAAATTAAATCCTGAAAGTGTTGAGTTTTCCTTTGATAGTTTTTGTGGTCACAGACTCAGGAGGAACCAAATCAACTGAGATAAAGCTTCTTATGCCAGAAAATCGCTGTTCCTCCTTTGCAGGATGTGAAGTCTTGCAAGAAAATAGGCTGTCACGATCACCACTGCCCTAGTGTGAACCTCATGTGACAGGGTTAGTTTGGGCAAGAAAAAAATACTTTCTAGTTGCATCAAGCACACCTTTCTAAGTGCCTGTTTTTTTTTAGAGACAAGTTATGTGTTTATTGCACTGACACAATATCAATTCCTCCTTTCTCCCTGCCTGCTGCCCAAATCTGATAGAGACCAAGGGAGGTCAAAGAACATGCTGTAGTGAATTTAAACTCACAAACCTCCAAAAACAGTTTTAAAAGAGCTTTATAGAAAATACTAACAAGGGAATAAAGACCATGAATTAAGAAAAACAAACAAACAAACACATCAAACAACAACAACAAAAGCATAACAAGTATTATTTTAAAGATATGCATGCTGTCAATTTTTAAGCATAACAAAACAAATAATCTCAATATATAAAATAAGGAAGATCTAAAAGAAACTGTATCAAGGGACACTACCAAGTGGCTAGCTGTTGGAAGAAGTCTGGTGTTCACTTCAGATTTTACATTGCAAAGAAGCAACTGTGGGTGGGAACCTAAACAAACACAAGACCAGCATCAGAAGTGCTTGTCTTGGGGCAAAGCTGATCTTCTAAATTCTCATCTCTAATATAAAGAGCAACACAAATACGACAAATATTAGCTGTTTCTGGACAGAGTAGGTCTTGCCCAAAGCATGATTTTCTTGACCCCGTGGTTAGTTGAACCAGTCAGATCTTGTACTCTGTGGTTAGTTTTAGCCTTCAATGTGAAAAGTTCATTACTTCTGCAGTTTTTCTTACTTTTGACCTTCACCACATCCTTTATTTTTGTTATACTTCCCTCTTCATTTCTCTCTCCTTTAAAGACTGATGTAAAGTCTTATTTTGTACAGTATAAAGCTTATATTCCCTACGAAGAAACCCAAGGCATTTTAAAAAGGCTTAAAACTTCCATCAGTTTTACTATACTTACCCATGGCACAGTTTACTTTGTCTGCACATCCCGTTTCTTTGCTTTTTGGATGAAGAGCTAATTTCATTTAGTGCTTGTTCTGAACTCCCTTCAGTGCAGGGACTTCACCTGCGCTGGGAGCCTTGTGATGTGGCTACAGGTTTGCACCGAGACTAGCTTAAGCTGCCCTTCTTCTGCCCCCCACAAGCCATCTCTCACTGCTGTTGCAAACTGCTTGTTCCTCTTCTGAGCCAAGACTTGCTGGCGCCTTTGTTGTGCTGCTGCAGTAGGGCTGTGCTTGAAGCTGGATCACTGCAATGTTGCACTTGAAAGCCACATCCGCCCCCTCGCCCTTGTTTTGATGGCTAGGAGACCAGCTGTTTCCCCTAAACTTTTATGAGTCACCTTGGAAAGAAATGGGTTAAACTAAGGGTAATGATCAGAAAATTTAATTGTTGTAATTGTTGAATTTGAAAGGGCAGCAATCTAAATGGGAATTCAGATTTGAATCTGAATTGCTGGTTTACACCGGGTGATCTACTCAAGTCAGCATGGGTCTGGTGTAAAGGTGCAAGGAGAGATGTTTTTTTCAGGACCCAAATGAATTAACAGTTGAATTTAAGTAGCACTTCAGCAAAACAGGCTCTATGCCCTAGTTTAAGACACCGTAAAAATGCTCTTATTCTCAGACTTTTATTATTAGCTCTACTTACTGCAACCAGATTGTTTTGAAGATTACATTTTTACAGCTCTTCTACCTCCTCCTGCATCTTCCCTGCAACAGTACGTTGGCAGTCTTTGGGTTGGTTAAAGCACTTACGTGCTCTCATTAAAATGATGAGCAAGAAGTAAACAGCTAACAAGTGACTACAGGGAGTTATCTGGCTTCAGCTGGAACAGGGTCAAGTTTTTAAACCATGCCCTGGTCTGATGGAAAGGGAGAGGGCACTTCTGAACAAGGACAAAGAGATGTGGTCCTCAAGGCAGAGAGCAGCAGCAGCAGCAGCAATGAGGGCATGGGCTGGCTCCTGCACTGGCCCAAGAGCTGGCCTTGAATCCCCATAACTGTTGCTCCTCACAGCCTTACCTCTGCTTGTGAGACTGCGGGGGACTTGTTTGCCTCAGTCTATACTCCCTATAAGATG